CTTGCTCATATAAGAAGACTCCCAAATCAGTCGTCGTGAAGCAGTTTACGGTGCCGTCTTGCACTTGCGTGAAATCTACGAACCGAAATAAATTTGTTGAATTCGAATCAGGACATCAAGAAAGAAGACTTCCTAGCCTAGGCGGAAGGATGAGTTCGAGTGTACTGTGAGTAAACATTTTCACGTCCATCTCTGTTCCCATCTATTTTTGCTTGCTAGAATTTTAGTGTTATTTGATCTTTCCTAAATCGAACAAAATAAATTGCAAAAGTATAGACAATTTATTCTATATCATTAAGTTTAATAATTAAATATTGAAAATCAATTTTAAATGAATAAAATTTATAAAATTGTGTTATAAAAAAATTACATAATTAAACAAATAAAAGGATATATTAAAGAATGAAAAATTTATAATTATATAAATTGTTATATTAATATTTAATAAAATGGAACAATTACGTGTAATACCTAAAGATTTACTTTGTCTTATACCTAAGTTTGAAGGAGAGGAAGGATTATAAAATGTATTTATTAAGATAGCTCAATACATATACAGATCTTTCGCAGACCCTAATAATGCCACACAAACTTTATATGTATTCCATGCAATAAGCAGCCACACAAACTTTATATGTATTCCATGCAACAAGAAGAAAAGCTCCTCCAAAATAACGTCATTAAAGAATCTCACTCGCCTTGGAGCGCACCTGTCCATCTGGTTCCCAAAAAACTCGATGCTTCAGGTGAAATAAAATATCGTATGGTAGTCGATTATAGGCGTTTGAACGAGGTCACTATAGATGATAAGTACCTATTGCCGAATATCTCAGACCTGTTTGATAAATTAGGGAAATCTATTTATTTTACAACGTTAGACCTGGCAAGCGGGTATCACCAAATAGAGGTTGAGGAAAGTGATAGACACAAAACTGCATTTACAACCCAGTCAGGCTATAACGAATTTGCACGACTCCCGTTCGGATTAAAGACAGCCCCCGCAACATTTCAGCGTGCTATGGATAACGTCTTCAGAGGGTTGCAAGGGTTGCATTGTTTAGTATATCTTGACGATATAATTGTATACTCTTCAAGTCTATAGGAGCACATAGAAATGTTGAAAATGGTATTCGATCGACTACGGGAAACAAATCTCAAAGCTACCCTAGATAAATGTGAATTTCTTAGAAAAGAAGTCCTCTATTTAGGCCATACAATAACAAAAGACGGACTCAAACCAAAATAATGACAAAATTCAAGCCGTAGTAGATTTTCCGATACCAAGAACCGCCACCGAAATCAAAAGATTATATATCGGAACCCTACCTCTACATTACCGACACGCATTTGACCAGTTTTATTTATTATTTTGTTGTTATCATTACACAAATGCTGCTGCCCATCTTCTGTTTTAATTTCCCTCTGTTGACATAGGAATGACAACCACGAGACGACATGGATAGTGGATATTCTTACAGCGCCACTACACGGTAATTTTTTTTTCTCATTTTTAACAATTTCTCAAGTTTTACTTGACACTAAGTATGAACTATTTGTAGCTACGAATAGGATATAATAGAATAGGTTTTATTTCATATAGATTATTACATAATACCTAACTATATGGAATTTACCACTGGTTCGGATAATACCTATGTCCTGGGAAGGACCAGCCAGAAACCCAGCGGGACTCTTTTTTGAACATATTTCACTTTATAATAATTTTGTTTTTTTTGTTTGTACAAATGAAGAATATAAATATGTAAGAAATGAATGAAAAGGAAAAAGGAAAAATATGATAGCATAGTATTATAGTATTCTATAGTAGGCATACAATAAGTTAAGTCGCCTCGTTGTATGTTTAGAAAAAATCAAAAACGAACCAAAGTAAAGTAAATTTACTTATACCTTTGTTTTTTGAAGAATGAAACCACTGAGAGAAACAGTAGGCCAAATGATCTTTAGCGGTCCGTTCCAGGGTCTTTTCGAACGCAGTTTCCGCATCTTTAGTTTCTAAAGCGAATCCATAGAAGTTCATTAAATAATATTAATATATAATATTGACTATTATTTATGTTACTGAAATCTATATAAATAAACAAAATTGAAGTATCTGTTTGTAAAGTCAAAATAACAGCTTTATACTAAAAGCATATGAAAGTTTATAGGGAACTTATAACAAAAACACAATTTTTAAATTTTTGTCTGTCTGTCTTTCTGTTTGTTCCGGCTAATACCCGAAATGGCTGGATCAATTTTGACGGGACTTTCACTGGCAGATTGCTCATGTTATAAACAGTAACTTAGGCAACTTTAATTTCAGAAAAAGAATTGGGGTTCTGTCCAAAAATAATTAAAAACTTAAATTACGCGCGGGCGAAGTGGCGGGGAACAGGTAGTTGTTAATAAAGCAGCGTATGCAGTAACTTTACTTTTATCTTTTAGACATACATAGATACATACATATAAACATACATAAACTCTCACGTCTGTCACCTAGAGGGACGGGCAGAGACACGGAGCAACAGGGGCCACCTGCGAACCAGAAGGGAGGAGCCCGTTATTTCTTGATACAAAACTGTGTGAAATCTACGCACACAAAAACAATCGTCTGTCACTACGAAACTCACACACAACAATTTAAACAATAAACTAACAATTTCACACACAAATAGACACATTACAACAGTATCTCTCGGTGACAGCGACAACTCTGATCATTCGTTCGACCGGTCCGCATATTCTATGAGGGCGAGCGGCCTAGGTTGGTAAGCAAATCCGAAACAACAAGACGAAATTTTTATGTTTATATGGAAGTAAATAGCAATAATGTGATTAATAATTACTTATATATGTAAGGTAACACCATCTTTTTGTAAATTTGACGTGGCAGATCTCATATAACGGAAAAAAAACTGATAAATTCGGCATTTTTGTAGCACGTCGCTTCAGCCGCACAATTAAATTTAGTCTAGTGAGCAATACCGCAGCAACTAGTTTTATTGTACGCATAGAACTGTGTGGACTTATACTTTGACAAAGGGGACGCCTGCGTATGGCTACTCCCCTCCGGTCCGTCGATGGCCCGTGTTGCTCTATGGGCAGAGACTACGGATTTAGCAAGATTCTCACACACCTCCCTCTCTCTCTCTCTCGCTTCTTTCACAGCCTTATAAAAACATATTCATGGCCGTTGGTTAAGTTTATATGAATTAAATTGAAGTGTATGTCTGTAATATAGAAATAACTGCCTTTTAATGAGCTGAGAGAGTTATTTGCATGTTATTAAGACATGAATAACCATTTTTATTGTCTGTCTGTGTCCGGGCTAATATCTTCGGAAAGGCTCAACCGATTATAATGAAACTTGACGAACAGATATAGAGCAATGCTAGGACTGATTTAAACTATATATTATTTGAAATTCTTTTATGTGAAACCGAAAAGTTGTTATAATAAATGGTCTTTGATGAATTATCTTAAACCTATATATATACCAGGCAGACGTTGTTCTGCCCTTTCCTGAGATGACCCTTCCTCCAATGAAAAATCCTTTAATTCCTAATAAGAAATGTTAAGGGTCACTTATCGGGATAAAAACCATCTTATCTCTCAAGTTGGACCAAGCTGCACACAATGTGCAAAATGTCATTGAAATCAGTTCAGTAATTCAGTAGTTTCATCGCGGACAAACAATTTGACACGTAATTTGGTTTAGCTTTCCATTGACGTCCGTCGAGTTTATGGTTGATATTTTTACAGAAAAATTATTATAAACACATACGCAAAGTTTCAACATTCGGAGACACGTACTATTTGAGAAAATATATTGAAAATCAACTACAAATATATATATATATATATATATATATATATATATATATATATATATTATATATATATATAACTCACGCATGCTTAACACACATTCTTCTAAAATATAAAATAGTTCTTTATTTTCCGAAGTAGGAAATTAAAAATTTGTTTTTTTCATTTTTATACATGAATAATCACGTTATCATGTTATTTGTCGAAGCGTCTTAAGTCATTCAACGAGTGTGGTCATTCTACTAGTGCTAAGATATTGTCGTGGTTCTGTTCGTTGTTGTAATTCTTCTAGTGCAGGCAAGGAGGATTGGTGTTGCTGACCGGCTGCCCTGTGTTACATTGAAATTAACTAGTGTTGCTGTTGGTTTAGATATTTTGGTGTTATCATGTAATTACGTACCTAACGTTACACTGGTGTGCGATTGTGGCGGAGACGTGTTACGGTGTGGTCGAACTGTAATTTCATTATACTGAATGTATAGTGCGCTACGTTGTCTTATTAAGAGAGCAAGTTGAACATCCGCTCTCACACTTTTATTATTTCTAACAATTAGTGCTATCCTGATGTATTCCCGAGATCAAAATTGCGATCCTCTGCTAAATCTCCGACATCAGAAGTGGGATACTCTGTTGAATTCTCCGAAATATAGTCACGTAACTGCTTTAGTTATTGTTCTGTAATACGGGGCATTCTACAAAATGAGTCAACCTACTTTTTTGCTTCACTTCTTAATTTATTTACTTTGGTAAAACACCCACTGTGCAGACTTCGATCGCTACCACTTTTTACCCTCGCGATCAATGAGAGATCACTGAATAGTTGCCGTCTGGTTGTTATAATAAAGTTAATCTCATTTTTCGTCGAATAGTTTAATTGTATATTATTATTGCCTGTGACATACAGCATTCGATTCATTTTAATAAACTGTTCCGTGATTCAAATTTCTAATCTGTTTAGATAATGTAATTGACTCAGAAAATAATATAAATATATATAAATAAATCAAAAGCACTGGTTCCTTCTTATCTTGTCCAGATTTATCGTTACGGTCATTAAAAAGTATATTTTATTAAAGTAATGAACGAATATGATTTAATCTAATACAGGTTTCATATTTTATAGTATTTTTAATTTTTCATTAGGTATTAATGTTGTCTTATAAATTTTAAAGGTACACGAATGCTGCTGGTGAAGTTAAATTTCATAATTGTCTGATGTATACAAATTATTCTCTTCATAATAATACGAAAGGTAAAGTTTGAACTTGTGTACGTTTCTTATTTGTACAAATAAGGTAAAAATGTAATAAATGTAAAAACACCTAGAAAGGCATTCTCAAGGTGTTTCTACACTTATATAGATTGTTAAGTTCTCGCTATGAAAATCAATGATTTTCAAAAAATCGGTAAGTTTTTTGGTTTCATCCCAGTTTTCGAAAATCGAGTTTTCATCTGTCGGATCTCGACGTTTTGAGGTCCTAGGCGTGCGTGTGTCCACACATGCGTGCGTGTGTGCATGTGTGTATGCGTGCGTGTGTGCGCGTGTGCGCGCTCGCGCGCTTGTGTGTGTGTGTGTGTGTGCGTGGTGTATGTGTACATACATGTGTGGTGTATGTGTATATCGATAAATTCCAAAATCGACACTTAAACACGTAAAACCGACGTCCATTGATGAGAAATGGATGACGAAAAATTTCGAAAAAAGTATTTTTTTTAATATATAGCATAATACTCGTATATATCTCAAAACGCTCGACAAATATTCCATCACGAAGTTTTGAGCTCGAAGAGCGAGAATACTAAATATAAGCATATGAGATCGAACATAGCGGGAAGTTACTCTCTTTGTTATGGATACGAAGCAAAGATTAAGTGGCATGAAGTGATAAAAGCTTGAGAATTTTTGAATTACAGGAAAAATGCCTAAAGAAAACTTTGCTCTGTGCTTAAATAGTGTGTGAAAAGTTAAGTTCATAATAATTAATAAATCGGCTTTAAGTAAAAGCGATTTAACTTTCTTGCAGTTTGTGACACATATGACTACGACAAAACTTGGTATGAACGTACAGTTCCTACAGAGAACAATTGGGTATGCGATAAAGAATTATACGTAGCAAATATTTTAGCTTCAAGCAAAATTGGAGAACTTGTTGGATCTATAGCTTTTGGTTGGTACGGAGATACGTAAGTGTTAGCTTTCATAAATTCTAACCTGTAATATATTATGTAGTTTAAAAGATCTTGGCACTTTCTAAGATGTATTTAAAGTATAGATACGTCATACTCGCTCCAAAATGGCAATACGAAAGTCAGGTAATTGCCCGACACGCATTCAGTCGGGCACGCTCTCGCGTCACGGCTATACCATTGCTACAGCGCGTAAATCGTTATTTGTGGTAAAAATGCCTTCCTGTGTTTTTAGGTGGTGCACAAATTACACGGCAACTGTTAGAGACAAGAAAAACGTCTCATTAATATTTTGAATATAGATGTTTTGTTCATAATTGGTTTTATTATTTCAACATTAACCGCTAGTGTAAACTTTGACGCTAGCTAGTGTGTTCATTTCCATATCGGTATGTCACGCGCTCGTAGATCACGCGATGTATATATAATATCTTTTTCTAACGATAGGTATGCCGTATCATTTGTCTCTCTTTGTTGTCGTCGTGTCATAGAAACAGAAACTTTTTTATTCAATATAGATTATAAATAATACTTATTGAAAGTCACCACTGGTTCGAAAAAAAAACCTCTGTCCTGGGAAGAACCAGCAAAAAACCCAGCGGGACTTTTTTTTAAATAACAGCCTTACAATCGTGTATGTTACACAAATTAACAACACAACAAATTAGAAATAGCTTGGTCACCTCATTTCCAGGGGTTATTATCATCTATAAATTCATTAATATTATAATAACCCTTTTTATACAAACTTAGTTTAATAAAGATTTTGAACTTTGAGCAGGTCAAATTTTGTATATTTATATATTTATATAATAAATAACTGTACGTAGATATAGTACTACCTGCGCCACTTTAAAATACAATAATGTTAGTGTGTATTGTGTAACCTGTCTATCGTTTTTAATACGTCTTTGGGCACTTTTGAAATGTATATCCCGTCATTTATCAAATAATAATAATAGTTTAATAGGTAAACTGAGTCTATTAAATCACAACAACTTTATTTTTTATTTTTTTATAGAAGAGGGTGCAAACGAGCATGCGGCTCACCTGATGGTAAGTGACTACCGCCACCCATGAACAACCGCAACACCAGGGGAATTGCAGATGCGTTGCCGGCCTTTTACAAAGGTGTAAGCTCTTTTCTTGAAGGTTCCTAAGTCGTATCGGTCCGGAAAATTCGCTGGTGGTAATTGATTCCACAAGGAAGTTGTGCGAGGGAGAAAACTTCTTTTAAATTGCACAGTGGTGGACCGCCAATCATCCAGATGGTATGGATGGTAACGCGAGTTTTGTCGTGATGTGCGATGGTGAAATTGAGTGGCTGGAATTAGTCCGAACAATTCCTCAGAGCACTCCCCGTGATAGATGCGATAAAATACGCAAAGAGATGCAACATCTCTACGCAGTGCCAGTGTATCGAGCTGATCAGAAAGAACTCGGTCGTCGACGATTTGAACCGCTCTGCGCTGGATGCGGTCAAATGGAAGGACTGGCACTGGGGTGCCCCGGCCCAGAGATAAGAACAGTATTCCATGTGGGGCCGAACTTGCGCTTTGTAAAGTTGCAAGCGATGTGCCGGCATGAAATACTGTCTCGCTCTGCTGAGCATGCCAAGCTTTTTAGAGGCCAATTTGGCCTTCCCTTCCAAGTGACCACGAAACTGCACACTATTCGATATGTCGACGCCAAGGATTCCGATACTAGCTGAGGCAGCAAGGGGAGTGCCTTGAAACTAAGGAGATACGACAAAGGGGTTCTTTTTAGCGGTAAACGCGCAAACTTGTGTCTTCTGGGGATTGAACTGGACTAGATTTAGTCGGCCCCAATCCGAGACTTTGTTAAGCAAAGACTCGACTTCAGACACAAGTTTGTCCCAGTACTCAGCGACGTTTTCCCGAGAAATATTGGCACGGCCGGTATATAAGGCATCACCAGTGCTGTCGTCTGCATAGCAATGAATGCTACTAGTTAGCAACATATCATTGATATGCAGGAGAAACAGCGTTGGTGATAGCACGCAGCCTTGTGGAACACCAGCGTTGATAGGCTTGAAATCAGAGCATGCACCGTCTACTACGACCTTGATGCTCCGATCAGCAAGGAAACTGGTGATCCATTTGCACAATTTCTCGGGAAGCCCATAGGAAGGAAGCTTCGAAAGAAGCGCTTTGTGCCAGACCCGATCGAAGGCCTTCGCTATGTCCAAACTAACGGCCAATGCCTCCCCCTTGGACTCTACTGCCTCCGCCCATCTATGAGTCAGATAGACTAGAAGATCACCAGCTGATCGACCTCGACGAAAACCGTACTGGCGGTCACTAATCAGCTGGTGATCCTCAAGGTACCTCATGAGCTGGCAGTTTTTAATAGATTCCATTATTTTGGAGAACAAGGAGGTGATGGCAATAGGCCTGTAGTTGGACGGGTCTGAGCGGTCGCCTTTTTTAGGGATCGGGTAGACCAAAGCTGTCTTCCATGAATTCGGGACTACGCCTTGGGAGTAGGAGTATCGGAAAAGACGCGTTAAAACCGGTGCCAACTCCGGAGCACACGTCTTCAGCACAATGGGAGGGACTCCATCGGGCCCACTCGACTTGCTGACGTCCAGGGGAGAAGAGTGCTTTGCGAACCGAGCGCTGTGTAAACCGCACATCCGGCATGGAGCACTCACATCGCGGGATGGTCGGCGGTGTGTTCCCCCCGTCATCTAGAGTCAAGTTGGACGCAAAAAGAGAGCTCAACAGATCGGCTTTCTCTTTTGCGGCATGGGCCAATGAGTCGTCCTCCCTGTGCAGAGATGGAAGAGATGGCTGACAGAAGTTCCCTTGGACAGCCTTGGCGAGAGACCAGAATGCACGGGTTCCCGAAGGAAGGCGAACTAGTTTCTCGCCAATTCTGCCGATGTGCTCAGACCTTGCCTTAGCAATGACGCTTTTGAAGGACCTGGAGGCGGAATTATACTTCTTTTTAAGTGCGCTGGTGTTTACATCCCGAGACGTTGATGCGTCAGCCCAGGCCCGGTAGCACTCCTGCTTATAGCGTGATGCTATTTTACAGGAGCGACCAAACCATGGCTGGGACCTGCCTCCGATGGGCACCACAGAGGATGGAATAAAAAGTTCCATACCCTGAAGTACCACATCAGCAACAGAATCGGCAACAACGCTGGGATCTTCCGGCGAGTAGCAAACCCGCCCCCAAGGGTACGATGCAAAAAAAGACCGCATCCCGTCCCAATCAGCTGACCTATAGTGCCAAACACGGAGGCAAGCTGCAGATCGCAACTGCGATTGGAGCGTGAGTGGCACCGTACTCCGGATCAGACAATGGTCCGAAGAGCCTAAGAGCATCGACGGAGACCTGATATCCGTCCGGATGAGAGGTCAGCAGAAGGTCCAACAGGGAAGGTACATGGTCTTCCACATCTGGGATCCGCGTAGGCGGAGTAACCAGTTGAGTTAGACCATATGCCAAAGCAAAGTATAGACAGATCTACCCGCATGATCGGTTAAACGAGAACCAAGCCATTCAGCGTGGTGGGCGTTAAAATCACCGAGTATCACGATCTCTGCAGATGGGACCTGTTGTAGCACGGAGTCTGCAGTCATTTGGACGTGGTCGATGAGTCGGTCTGTGTCGGCATTACCGCTATGGGACCTATAGAGGCACCCGTAGATGCGGGGATGGTCGTGGCTGTCTACGCGCCGCCATAGGATGGACAGGTCCGTACCTTCAAGACTGCCGAGGCGTCGAAAACAGATGTCCTCTCTGACGTATACGCAAACTCCAGCCCGGGCCACAAAGGAGTGTTCCAATTTGTATCCCGGGTAGGAGAGATATGAGGTATCAGCCGGAGAGGACACCTGAGTCTCGGTTAAATATTATAATGGACAGCGTTAAGGTTGGAATGAAGTCCCCTGATGTTGCAAAAATTCACGGATAACGTGACAGGGGTCGCCTTGGTTGTATTGCTCCGCTTGCCCCGAGCAGCATTAGTCGCGAGCGGAATTTTGCCCCCCCCCCCCCCAGAATACGCGGGGCAGCCTGAGCACCCACGCTCAGGAGTGAAGTAGTTTGGTCGTGGATGCTCAGCGAGGGATTCTCCAGGGGTGCTGGTACCCTCCTGGGGTAGTCTTTTATTTAATTCCACTACCATGTTGATGGGGGGGGGGGGGGAATTGGGCCTCCGGCCACCTGCACTCACCAAGCACAACGCAGAGGTAAACCTCTACTTCACGCTGGTATTTTGTGAGGACGTGGTACCACCCCGGTTCGAGATGGCCCATCCGTGCGACAGCAAAAGCTACCGCTTAGCTCTACCACTGTCTAAAATTATTACACAACTATACTTTGAGACAAAACTAACTAAAAGGGGGAAGGGCTACCCCGAATTACGTCACAGCGGTGTACTCATGTCGATACCTAACTAGGGGTTACCGAACTGAACAAATGAATTATAAAAAACTATCACCTAGCCCCCATCTGCCAAGTACGTACCGTGCGATAAGGAACTTCGTTCCAAAAGAGAATAAAATACGCTTATAGAACAACTTCTCTAAATGCAATCTTCACCTACACGTGATTCTAATGACCTACCGTTACCGTTACAGCCTATTAAAAGTCCAGTGCTGAACATAGGCCTACCCCATAGAATGCCTCATATGGTAGGGATGCTTGCTATAGCTGCCACCCTTAACAGGCGGGTTGGCAACTGGAACTAAAACTGGGGGTAATGGATATTCTTACACTGCCACTACACGGTCAATGATCTACAGCAGCAATATATTCATACAAAAATACCAAGGTCAAATTTTAAGGACTTTTTTAAAGAATAAAAAGCACACGGTCCACTTTATGTTAAGTGGATGCTTCTTCGAATAATAATCAAAAAGTAGAAACGCGTAAACAGTAAAAATGCTCTCCAGTAACTTTCTCTAGAAGACTGATGATGAGGATTACCAGTGTATGGCCTCGATGCTTATTAATCCGCATGCTTTGTTGGTGAGTAAAACTGATTCAAGTCTCATATATGCTCGGTATTTTGAATATCAAGAAATTCTCAGTAGCTGCCCGGAGTCAGGAATCCGGCGGTGTTTCACCCCCGTGCCTCGGAAAGCACGTAAAGCCGTTGGTCCTGTGCCTGATCTCTCTCCGGTCGTGTCGGTTTACCGTCCCATCGGACTATGAGAGTGAGGGAATAGAGAGTGCACCTGTGCTTGCGCATACACTTGGGCACTATAATCCTGTCCTGCGCAGATGGCTAGTCTCCGCTGAGACTGGCCGCCGTGACCGAAATTCGGTCTGGAGGACATTATTATTTTGAATAGCAACGAATTACAAAAGGATGATATAATATGAATCACATAATTTTTTTATTATTAATAAATTGAAAATTCAGATATGTACTTTTATAATAATGAAATTAAAAAATTCAAAACTGACTTCAAAGCACTAAACAGTAATATAATCTTTAAATTCGGTTAATGTGGTAAATAATTATTATATTATAGCCTGATGTTTTTCTCATAGATACTATAATCAGATCTTGACCAAATGTATTTGAGACTACACTGAAAGTAGCCATTTTCTAACAAGAATTATTAAAATCAGACAACGTGGTAAAGAATATCGCTGAACTTACATAAAAAATATTCCCGCACTTTGAGGGCCTCCTCCTTTTTTCAATACGGTTGAAAAATAATTTTAAATTTAAATGGTGGAAGTAATAAATTAAATTAGAATTGTTTTTATTTCAGATATGGCCGAAGACCAACTTATATTATATCACTTTTATTAATTATATTTGGACGAGCTGTGTCTTTACTAGCGGGCACATCGTTCATTTTATTTGTCTTCGGAACTGTTGTAGCTGCACTTCCATCTTGGTCTGTTCTTCAAAGTGTCACTGCTATATCTATGGAGATATCCTCACCAACAAACCGTACTTTAACTGCGTCCTTACGATTTGCTGGATGGAGTGTTGGTTTGGCTGCCACGGCATTATTATTTTGGTGTTTGAGAGATTGGAAGATATTTTTTATTGCCACTACCGCTACTCAAGTCCCTTTTTTACTTTTTTCTTGGTATAATATACTTGTTTAATTGTACAGTTTCCTAATTTATGGAAAGTACATTCATATCTTGCATTACTCTTTTAGGAAGATGATAGAGTCACCTCGATGGCTGTGGGTACAGGGTAAAACGAAGGAATGTGTAAAATATTTAAAGTATATCGCTAAGAAAAATAATAAAAACCTTTCTAAAGAAACGGAAGAGGAAATTTTAACGTATACACCTGTTAAAAATACTCATGGTCTAGGATATTTAGCGTTGTTTTCCGGATGGACTTTAGCAAAAAATACTATTTTACAGTTAATTGCTTGGTTAGTTAATACTTAAGGAAAGTATTTTATTATATTGCGAGAAATGATTTATGGTTTAATTATTATGATGTTGCCAGGATTTGCTATAGTACGAGTTATACAGTCATTTTAATGAGCTCTGGAGAAAAAACAGATGGAAATCCTTTTTTGGAATCGGTATGGCAGTCCTTAGCTGAATTACCGGGGTATTTTATAGCTGCATGGCTTGCGGATCGTATTGGTCGCAGATACACAGGTGCGATATCTTTCGGCATCACTGCAGCTATGTGGACAGTCCTTGCACTTCGAGAAAACAGTTGGTATTCATTCGCAGTCTTATATTTATTATTTTTATCTTTGTCAGAAAAGGAGGATATATTATTAAGCCGTGTAGGGGCAGCATAAGAGAATCCACTACCCCGATTATATCTGCATGTGGGCGTCGTTAGAGGCGGCAGAGGGAAACGAAGCGAGGCAACTATGGCAAATATGTAGGATATACGCTACGAGGCAATCTATGCGGGTGGCCTATTTCCTCTAGGAAAGGTGTGCTACCAATTTATTTTGTACGTTTATTATTTAAAATAAGATTAGTAAATTATTTTATAGAATAAAAGAGATAAACGAGCTCAAGGTTCACATTTATCCTCAATTAAGAATCAAAATGCAGATGCGTTGTCACCCTTGAGAATTAAGATGGAATGCCTCATTTCCAGTAAAAAGGGTCTCCGATTCTTTACAGTCATCATAGGTTTAAGCTGCTATTTTACGCTGGTGTTCTGTGAAAGCATGGTCCTTCCCCGGTCGAGTCAACCCATTCATACTACAACCATAATGTAGCTGCAGGATGGCTCTACCACGTCAAACAAATATTATTTTGCTTAGTTTATCATTATTACTATTTCATTTCTAAATTACATGTACTATATTGCTTGCTTGCATGTGCGCGCTCGTGTAACACTTAATATTAGGCAAGTTCAGACAAATGCCTACTCAAGTTGAGAGGATTTCCTACGATAGCCAAGTCAATCGTATATAATGTTTATGTTAGCATATTTGGTAGGAGTCTAGTAGTAAATAATATCCCCCAATTTAGAATAGACTAATAGCCAGGCATGGTCGATGTTTAACCTAAATTCAAATTTGTTTCAGGTTCTAATGTGGTTTTTCGAAACTCATTGGTTGGAAGTACTTTAGCGGTAATCAACAGAATGTCAGCTACGATATCGTATTCCATCATCACTATCTTTAACATGGAGTTATACCCGACTTGCATACGGCAATCGGGAATGTCATTAGGAAATTTGTTTATAAGTGCAGGTTCTGCTTTAGCTCCTTATATGTTATATTTGGTAAGTAATCTAAGCAATGGAAACTGATGACTACTGTCGTGTAGGTATATACTTTTGTAACTACTATTAACTATCGTAAAGGAGTGACAACAAGTACGCCTATGTAGCATATTATGCACATTAGCATATTAGGTACTCTAAGATAATATCTCATTTCTAAATGCTGTAAAAACTTTAGGACTATTTCGTAATTATGAAAAATTATTTTGTTTGAAATTATTTTAATTTATTTTTTTATTTTCTATGAAAATGATATAAAATAAAGAAAACGAATTTAATTGCCGTTTTCATAATATTAAATCAATCTTAGCGGGACTTATTTTTTAAAAGCACAATTTACAATATAATATTTAATACAATTGTTATGAAAACATTTAGATTCCATATGACATTATGCTATGGAAATAACAAAAATAAACTAAACTAGCTGTTTCAACACATGTAAGCCATCTAATCTTTTTTACAGTATATGCTGCAGAACGAAGTTTGCTAGCTAGTTTAGATATATGTATGAGGACCCCATTGAAGCTTCGTGTCAACTGTAATTCTGAGAAAAATAGTGGATTCAACAAGGCCCAGCTCCTTCCCATTTAAAAGCACATTGGTATTGACCTGTTTAACATTAAGTGCAGTGAATTTAATACATTTCGTTTTATTACCGCTCGAGTGCAAATTATTGACGTTAAACCAGTGTACTACTTTCAATATAGCATTATTCACTTCATCATATTTCAATAATTGCCTTTTTAGTCGGAAAATTAACGAAGTATCATCAGAAAATAATACTATATCATGGTTATTTCTTACCAAGTAAGGTAAGTCATTAATATAAACTAAGAACAGAAAGAGACCAAGAACCTGAGGAACACCCATAGATACTATCGATCCGGAAGAACTGCATCCATTAATAACAACTGTTTGCGTTCTATTATTTAGATATGACATAATAAGTTTAAGCGCTATGTTTTTTACACCATAATGATGTAGTTTCCTAATTAATGTCTCATAGTGAACACAGTCGAAAGCCTTGGAAAGATTACAAAATATACCCAAAGCATTTTCTGAATTTTCCCATGCACAAAAAATATGTTTCATTAGCTCAACACCGGCATCAGTTCTCGAGTGACACCTTGTAAATCCAAACTGATTTAATTAATAGAATCAGGCGTTACTTTGCGGAAATCCATTATATAAAAGCTTTTAGAAAAATTTACTTCGCAAACATCCGCGTTATAAAATAAAATGACGCGTCTTACCTAGTATGAAGAGCACCTCAATTGCGTGCACTATCCCCGTCACCACTAATCCCAGCACCACTACTCCCAACACCACTACACTAGGAAAGACCACTGACGACAATACGACACGTGTTTCGCCTCTACACGAGGCATCCTCAGGTGATATAGACTCTACGGTGGCTAACCGCTAAGTGAGTGGCGAGCCAAAACAAGTGTCTTTTATACAGACAGATGACGCAACCGCTCTCTACTTAAGGAGCGAGCGACTGCGGCATGCGATAAAACATGCGACCAATCACCGCCGGACTTACGCAGCCGTTTGTAAAATTATAAACAAACCGCCGGGCAACGCCCACCTACCCTCCATGATGGGATGATAAAACATAAAGTAGCCGCTTTTTATTGTTACATTAACCGTTTGTTCACTGTCCCATTAAGTAAAGAAAATTATTTAAAAGAACTTAATATAATTTATCAAATAGCGGTCTCTAACGGTTTTTCAAAAAATCTCATTAACAATTGAATTAAAAAGAAACAAAAGAATGTTGTTCGCAATTCTCTGTACGCGGTTCAACCTCAAAGTGTTCATCGATAAGTGAGCAGTTTGACCTACTTCGAGCAGTTTGACGTCGGGGCTCGACCAGATAGGCCTAGTACCTGGTCGAGCCCCGACGGTTCGCCAAAAAATGAGATTGACTTCATTATGACGACCAGACGACAACTGTTCAGTGATGTCTCCGTGATCGCGAGGGTGAAAACTGGTAGCGATCACCGAATGGTTAGAGGCATACTAAACCTAAACGTTAAGTTGGAAAGGTCTCGTCTAATGAAGTCAACGCTTCGTTCGATCCAAGAGCGAGTCTTATTCGACACTATTCCGAAGATATCCCGGACGTCAGTCTAAACGAGATTAGAATGGCTCTCCAGCACCTTAAAAACAAGAAAGTCCCCGGGCGAGGATGGAATTACAGCGGAGTTTTTGAAAGAGGGTGGAAACCGGTACTTGAAGTCCTTCAGAAGCTCTTTAGTTCCGTATTCTATGGTGGCACTACTCTGGAGGCGTGGAGCAGAAGTGCGGTAGTATTGTTCTTCAAGAAAGGCGACAACGCTCTCTTGAAGAACTACAGACCGATTTTCCTTCTGAGCCGCGTCTACGTGCTGTTTTCGAGAGTCATTACGAATCGTCTCGCACGCAGACTTGACGACTTCCAGCCTCCCGAATAAGCCGGTTTCCGAAAAGGCTTTAGTACCATAGACCACATACACACGCTTCGGCAAATTGTACAGAAGTCAGAGGAGTACAATTTGCTACTATGTCTGGTGTATGTGGACTATGAGAAAGCCTTTGATTCCGTCGAAATTTGGGCGCTGTAGCAGTCCCTTCAGCGGTGCCAAGTTGACTGTCGGTATATCGTGCTGAAGTGTTTGTACAGTAGATCTACGATGGCTATCCGAGTAGAGAATCAGAGTACGAAACCTATCCAACTGCAGAGAGGTGTAAGACAGGGTGACGTTATATCGCCGAAACTATTCACCGCCGCATCGGAAGACGTTTTCAAGCTGCTGGACTGGAAAGGATGTGGTATTAATATCAATGGCGAGTACATCACTCACCTTCGACTTGCCGACGATATAGTTCTTATGGCAGAATCGCTGGAGGACCTAAGCACTATGCTCAATGACCTCAATAGTGTTTCCCAACGGATAGATCTTAAGATGAAAATGGACAAAACAAAAATCATGTTTAACGTCCATGTCACACCTATGCCGGTAGTTGTTGGGAGCACTAAGCTCGAAGTTGTTGACGAGTATTTTACCTGGGACAAATAGTCCGACTAGGTAAGTCCAACTTCGACCGAGAGGTCAATCGACGGATTCAACTCGGCTTGGCAGCGTTCGGGAAACTACGACATATCTTCTCGTTAGACATACCTCAAAACCTTAAACCGAAATTGTACAACCAGTGCGTGTTGCCAGTGATGACTTACCGATCTGAGACGTGCTTTCACTGCTGGCCGTAGGAGAATGCTCAAGGTCGCTCAGCGAGCTATGGAGAGGGCTATGCTCGGGGTTTCTCTGCGTGATAAACTTAGAAATGAGAATATCCGCAGTAGAACCAGAGTAACCGACATAGCCCAATGAATTAGTAAGCTGAAGTGGCAGTGGGCCGGCAATATAGCTCGAAGAACCGACAACCGATGGGGAAGAAAGGTTCTTGAGTGGCACCCTCGTACCGGTAGGCGAAGTTTAGGTCGACCCCCCACGAGATGGAGTGACGACCTGGTAAGATATTCAGGAAATCAATGGATGCAGGTGGCTCAGGACCGTGCTTTGTGGCATTCCTTGGGGGAGGCCTATGTTCAGCAGTTGACTTATGAAAGTCTGTAATGATGATGATGATGATTGTTTTTATATGGAAGAAAAGGCAGCTTTTTCACTATACTACTTCTAAATCTGTCTAAGCTATATTTATTTATTGGAACAAGCACAACTTTCTCAACTTTCTGTTAGCGAGACTAACTGTCTACAGTGATCAGAACTTAAATTTTGAATAATTAATTTGTGTAAGGGCTCAACATCAGTAAAAATATCGATACAAGTTGCACTAGGCCCTGCTACAATACGTGTTGACTCAAAGAACAAATTAACAAGGTTATAAGATTTGAGCACTGATTTAAACTTAATACTCATGGAAGAAGTTCAAGGAGGTTGATATTAAAGTGTCCACATACGACGACAGATTTATTTTGTTTATTAAATTTAAGCAAAACTTCCTCCATTATTTTTTCAAAACAATCACAGGCTTTGACAATATATCAACAAGTTTTATAAAGACCTTCAAGAATATACCAGTCATACCCATGACATACATCTGTAATCTTTCCTTTACAACAGCTGTCTTTCCCACGGCATTTAAAAAATCTCTGATGCATCCCATCTTCAAATCTGGCGACAGAAACTGTGTCTGTAATTACAGGCCAATATCCATTCTTCCAGCTTTGTCCAAAATTCTAGAGCGCCTTATCAACACCAGATTGATAAAATACCTAGAAACAAACGGACTAATATCTTGTAACCAATTTGGGTTTAGGACAGGCAAATCCGCTGAAGCTGCCATTCATAACTTTACCAATTTTGTTGTCACCAAGGAAAAAGTATTGATCGTCTTCCTTGATCTAGCCAAAGCGTTTGACACAGTCTCATTGTCCATACTGATAAAAAAACTAGAAAGCCTCGGCATCCGTGATCTCCAGCTAAAACTTTTCTGGGATTATTTGCAGAAAAGAACTCAGTGTGTTAAGGTGCAAGACTACGTGAGTAAAGAGTTGCCTGTTAGTTTTGGTGTACCACAAGGTAGTATACTAGGCCCTACACTCTTTTTTAACCTACATAAATGACTTATGCAATCTAAATCTTCCAAATGGACAAATAATTACCTTTGCTGATGACACGGCACTTCTCTTTGATGGTGATTCCTGGACCCAGACATTTAGTCACGCTCAAAAAATGATTAAATATTGTTGTAAACTGGCTAAACAAGAACGTACTTACCTTAAATATTGAAAAAACTAAATTTTTAACTTTTTCCATCAGAGCACAAGATCAGCCTTCACTGGATCACCTCCATCTAAAAGTGCACTCCCGTTTTGCCTGTAACTCTTATTTTACCAACTCTCAGACTGCCTCAGACACGATTATGCAGTGTACCTGCCCAACTATCGAGAAATCTGAGTACGTTAAATATCTTGGTGTTATAATAGATGACAACTTAACGTTTGAAGAACATATAGCTATACAGCCATCTAGATTGAGAAAGTTGATTTATGTTTTTAAAAACCTTAGAAATGTTTCGAATACAAAAGTGATCAAAACTGTTTATTTTGCCTTTGTGCAATCTCTTTTGCTGTACGGTATAACTTCATGGGGTGGTGCAGCAAAAACCCGTCTTATAGGGTTGGAACGCACGCAAAGAGCCATTCTAAAAGTTGGGTTTTTATTGCCATTTTTATTTCCAACGGATGAACTATACAAACGTTGCAGGGTACTTACTGTTAGGCAAATCTTTATTTTACAAACTGTTCTAAAAAAACATTCGTCGCTAACATACGTCTGAATGTTTGTCCTTATGCAATTTATGTTTCTAAACTGCCTCCACGATACAGAAGAAAGTCCTAGTGTATAATAACATTTATTTTTAAAAAGACTTGTGTTTTACAAACAATTTTCGGCTTGGTAGGGCTCTATAAAGCGAAAAGTTTTTTTTATTGGTCATTGTTACTGCCGTTATGTAGACACTAGTTACGATGCGTACATATAAAATTTAAATCAGGTGCGTGCAATCACTTTGGGAGCTCGTAGCAAACTGAACGTGTGCCCAACGTGTGGACGCGACGGCCAATACTCTGCCACTACCCTTTGATCTTTTGCAAAAACCGACACCACACGGATCTCGCGCCAACTTGTGGGCCATCGTTCCAATACATACCAACGTAGCTCAAACACCCGCTCTACACGATGGCCATCGTTGTGGGCCAACACATTCGCCAGTGTGTTGGCCAAAGTGAAGAGCCGCCGTCTCGCGCCAACTTGTAGGCCATCGTTCCAATACGTACCAACGTAGCTTAAACACCCGCTTTACACGATGGCCATCGTTGTTGGCCAACACATTCGCTAGTGTGTTGGCCAACGTGAAGAGCCGCCGTAAAACACACCATGGCATATTTTATGATTTTTTTAATATAATCAACACAGCTTGTGTCTACTCACTAGCGCCACAGAATACTTTTTATATATTCGAAACTAGCGCCTAGCAAGCGATTGCGAGCGACTGAGTAAAGTGCGGCGTTATCGCCGCAGTTGAATGGGACAGCGTAACTTAGTACAGTCGTAGTACTATTATTTATTCTGTGGTAAAGTGTCGCCTCTAGTACGTAGTACATAATAACTCAATTGCATTATACTGCTCAATAGAATCAGATGTCTGGGTAGCCAAATCCTTATCTGAGTTAAAATATAAATAATAAGATAGCACATTTGCTGTCAGTCTTATACTTACTATACTTTGATAGGTAATACTTATCTCTTGTCATAAACTTCTTAGTAAAATTATTAATATCACTCAAACGAAATTTATCATTATTTTTACAATGAAATGTCAAATTTAAATTATTATTACATGTCAAATTATGAATCAATAAATTTAAATACATTTAAAATCCATGATGTGATAAGATGTACATCATGGATTTTAAATGTATTATTATTATGTACGTGGACCACTCAGAAAGTTATGGGGAACTAAAAAAAATTGAAAAACTCTCCATTACCATGTATACAAAGTATCATGTGTCTGAACCATTTTTCGAAATAGTTTTTCCAGTCCGCTTCATACACCTATTTGGCGGCCTAATCGAACCCTGCTTTGGCATCTTTTGGCGATGTTTTGATGACACAAAGTGCATTTTTATTAGTACGCTACGCTACGTAGCGTATTTATCTGTACGTTTTGTGATATTAAAGTCTATATACAGGGTTATTTTGCAATAACCGGCCAAATTTGCAGAGAAGGTTCAGATTAAGTAATATAGGCAAATGGTGAAGAAAAATTAATTAAAAAAGTCTCAAACATTCTGTCCTTTTTATTTTTTAAATTCAAAATGCGTGGTAATGCATTATTTTAACCGATTTTACTGCGCACGCACACATTCACAAGGGTCGATCGGTAGGTAAAAAGGTAAAAACGTTTTTGACCATAAATCCCATTCAATTTGGGATAATTTCAAATAAAAGTAGAAGCCTTATTTACTCGTATTTTCAAAAACAGCAATAACGGTATATCATTAGATATTTATATATTTGGACTTAAGTTTAAAATTTGGCTACTCTGAAAAATAAGCCTGTATATAAAAAAATGCCTAATTATTAAAAAATAATTCATGCATATTATATTTGTTTCTTCCGTGTCCAGCCTGTACAAAGATTTATAAAATATTATTTAATTTTAGGGGCGTCGTTATTCACAGCTGTCTAATTTAATATTAATTGGCATTTCTCTTTTTGGGATTATTTGCATCGTCTTACTGCCTGAGACTTTGAATGAAAAATTACCGGAAACAATAGAAGATGCTCAAGCATTTGGCAAGAAGAAACTGAAATACTTACCTGTATCTAGTCAGTCATAATATTTATATATAAATTGTATTACAAAATATCTAACGCAGAAATAAATTGAACCATTACAACAATCACAATTGTGTTTCATTTAATATTTATAAAAATGCTATAGTAACATAGCAATATACAAATTATTTCAATGTTACTTTCTATAAATTTTTTTTTTATATTTATTTATACCAAAATAAAATATTGGCTTGACATTAATATTGTTTTTTTAAATCGCTGAGGTTTTTTTAATGCTATAAACTGTCAACTACTAAAAACTTATAAAGTACCAGCCAACTTTATAATTTAAAATAATATTTACCTATGTTGAACAAAAGTAACACGAGAAAAATATTTAATTAGCCATAAGTACCAAGCCAGCAAGACTCCAATGTAGTAATGCGTTTTTGATTGTACAAGCTTAAGCACAGACAGAGGATATTTTTTAACCACCACCAGATAGGTGTCATCGGCAAACTTGCTGCAGCATGTGTAATTTTTAGGATTCCGTACCCGAAGGGTAACCAACGGGACCCTATTAATAAGCCTCCGCTGTCCGTCCGCCCGTCCGTCTGTCAGTCAGCGAGCTGTATCTCATGATCCATAATAGGTAGAGTTGAAATTTTCACAGAATGTCTATTTCTGTTGCTGCTATAACAATAAATAAAAATATAAATAAATTAAAAACTAAAGGGGGCCCCCTACTAGACACGTGTTTTACGATTGTACGGAACCCTTTATGCGCGAGACCGACTCGCACTTGGCCGGTTTTTAAAGTTCGTAAGTATCGTTTACTTAAGATAAAAAAGATTCGGACTCGCCCATGAAGGGTTCCATAGCAGCAAGTAACATTATTTACGAGGAAAATTTCGGGAATCAAGGAAGTGACACAACATTACTATTTAAAAATGTATTTATTGCTTTTCGAAGTATTCTCCGCGAAATTTGACACATTTTTCCATACGATGGAACCAATCATTGAAGCAACCATTCCATTCGGAAGTTGGGATCTCCAAAATGGCCGTTTTGTGGGCGTCCACAGCTTCTTCAGGTGATGAAAATCTCTGTCCACGCAATTTATTCTTTATTATAGGGAAAGTATAGAAGGTCGGGGCTGTACGGCGAATGGTCTAATAATTCTATGTTTTCTTGCTCTAAAAACTCTTTTGTTCTGTGTGCGGTGTGAGAACTCGCATTGTCGTGATGGAGGATGATGCGGCGGTTGCAGTTCTCTTTACGGAGTTCAGAAACGACCTGTGGCAAACAAATGCTAGCCTACCATTCTGCATTAACCGTTCTTTGTCCCTCAAGAGGAATAGTCGTAACATGGCCGGTTTTGGAGACAAACGTGGCCACCATTTTTTTTGCAACACTCCATGAACGAACAATTTTCGTTGGCTTTAACTCATTTTCGAACATCCAAACTGGTGACTGGTTTTTTGTTTCGGATTCGTACGCGTATATCCAGGATTCGTCACCTGATACGATGTTGTGTACAGCATTCGAGGATCCTGCGTGGAATCTTTCGAGAGTTCTGACGCACCAAGTAACGCGAGCCGCTCTTTGCTCTTCACAGAGCGAATGCGGTATCCATCGGGAAAACAACTTTTTTACACCTAATTGTTCATGCAAGATTATTTGTATTTGACTCATGCCAATGTCTAAAGTTGCCTGAATTTCGCGGTATGTCACATGTCGATCTTCCTCAATCAGCTTACGCACAGCATCAACGTTTTCTTGGGTGACTGCAGTTTTTGGACGACCTTGACGGGGATCATCACTGAGCTTGACACGTCCACGTTGAAATTCATCAAACCAGCGATAAATTGTGGTTTTGGATGGGGCTTCATCACCATCACCAAATGCAGAAATCATCCGGTCAACACACTGTTTTTGTGTTAAACCACTTCGAAAGTCATAATAAATCATCGCTCTTGGTCAATTCCATTTTCTCAACGACTAAACAAGTTTGACAAAACCTTGTGACAAGACCGGGAATCTTTTTTTTAAATAAATAAATAGTATTCAATTTTAAAAAACCAAGGAGTTTTCAAATTAAATTGCGGTTTACGATTTATGTCGTATTAAAAAAAACTACTTACTAGTCGTTCTTACTTCTCGTTCAAAGCAATTTTCGGTGGAAGTTTACATGGTAATGTACATCATATATTTTGTTTAGTTTTATCATTCTCTTATTTTATAAGTTACACCTACCTCCATATACCAGGCGCGGGGGGGGGGGGGCAGGTATATGTAGGTATAGGTGTGTGGGGACACACATTTTACAACTTTGGAAGTGTCTCTCGCGCAAACTATTCAGATTAGAAAAAATGACATTAAAAACCTCAATATCATTTTGAATACCTATCCATAGATATCCCACACGTATGGGTTTGATGAAAAAAAAATTTTGAGTTTCAGTTCTAAGTATGGGGAACCCCCAAAATTTATTGTTTTTTTTTTCTATTTTTGTATGAAAATCTTAATGCGGTTCACAGAATACATCTACTTACCAAGTTTCAATAGAATAATTCTTATAGTTTCGGAAAAAAGTGGCTGTGACATACGGACGGACAGACAGACAGACATGACGAATCCATAAAGGTTCCGTTTTCTGCTATTTGGCTACGGAATCCTAAAAATGGAGGCCTCAAACTGAACCTTGTGAATTTTGAGGTACTTTCTGTAACGGTGATTGGATCGCTTATGAAGTTTGAGGTAATTTTTGCATCATTTAAGTATATTATGTTTTATTTTTCTCTAATAGGAATTCGTGTTAACGATTGCGTGGTCTGATGCGTAAAGTAGAGTATTATGTCATGTACGGTATATCAGTTTTTTTGTACATGCCGGATTTTTTTTCAATATCTGTACAGTTGTCTCAAAGTAACACAAGTTGGCTCGAACCGGAGAAGTACCACCACCTCACAGAATACCAGTGTGAAGTAGAAGCTTACTTCTGCTTTTCGCCTTCGCCAGGTGAGTGCAGGTGGCCGAAGGTCCAAGTCCCCTAAAATGGTAGCAGAGTTAAATATAACACTACCCCAGGAAGGTACCAAACAAAAGAAGGTACAAAACCAAAGTGCTTCTTCCAAGGCTCCCTTCCTATAGGCTTCCCGAGAAATTGTTCAATTGGATCACCAGCTTTCTTGCAGATCGGAACATCAAGGTCGTAGTAGATGGTGTATGCTCCGATTCCAAGTCTATTAATGCTGATGTTCCACAAGGCTGCGTGCTATCACCAACGCTGTTTTTTCTGCATATCAATGATATGTTACAAGCCGGTAACATTCACCGTTCATGCGGGTGACAACACTGGTGATGCTCTATACACCGGCTGTGCCAATATTTCTCGGGAAAACGTCGCCGAGTACCGGAACAAACTTGTGTCTGAAGTCGAGGCCTTGTTAAACAAAGTCTCGGATTGGGGGCGACTAAATCTAGTCTAGCTCAATCCCCAGAAGACATAAGTTTGCGTGTTTACCGCTAAAAATAACCCCTTTGTCGTATCTCTTCAGTTTCAAGGCACTCCCGTTGTTGCCTCAGCCAGTATCGGAATCCTCGGGGTTGACATATCGAATGATGTGCAGTTTCATGGTCACTTGGAAGAGAAGGCCAAATTGGCCTCTAAAAAGCTTGGCGAGCTAGCAGAGTGGGACAATATTTCATGCCGGCACACCGCCTGCAACTCTATAAGGCACAGGTTCGGCTTCAAATGGAGTACTGTTCCCTTCTCTAGGTCGGAACTCCCCATTGCCAGCTCCTTCCACTTGACCGCATTCAGCGCAGAGCGGCTCGAGTCGTCAACGACCGAGTCCCCTCCAATCGGCTCGATTCACTGGCGCTGCGACGAGATGTTGCATCCCTTTGCATTTTCTTTCGCATTTACCACAAGGAGTACTCTGAGTAATTGTTCGGATTAATACCAGCCACGAAATTTCACGAACGCACATCGCGACAAAACTCCCAATACCATCCACACCATCTGAATGCTTGGCGGTCCACCACTGTATGTGTTACTAGGAATTTTCTTCCCCATACGACCACTCTGTGGAATAGTTTACCACCGGTAATTTTTCCGAATCGATACGACTTAGTAACCTTCAAGAAAAACGCTTACACCTTTCTAAAAGGCCGGCAACGCGCCTGCAATTCCCCTGGTGTTACAGTTATTCATGGACTGCGGTAATGATTAGGTCAGCCATATGCTCGTTTGCCCCCTCTCCTATAAAAAAAATTTAATAAACGGGCACCCCGAACGTTCTTGACCAATTGAGAACCTAATTAAGATCCAAGTTAATCACTTCTTTTATTCTATTAATTATACAGACTCTGAATGAAACAGATAAGTAAAAGTGGTGCAATTTTGGGTTTATTTATCTACGTGTACTTAGTGGAAACGATGTTACAAGTGCTTCACTGGCGATATTTTCAGATTTTTGAACCGCTTAGAGGACTTGAGATACTTTTGGTTATCAACTGCCCGCTGTGTCTAACTGTCATCAAAAATTTCTAAGAACTGCATCTACATGAAGCGTTTTGGAACAAAATTCAAATCAGACTAGCCTGTACGGCCTAAAACCTTTGCCTGTCTTCATTTCTTATCTTATATAATAAGCTTATAACGTCCCACTGCTGGGCAAAGGCCTCCCCAACCTCTTTCCACCTTTCGCGGCTCTGTGCTAAGGGGGACCACTCTTTCATGAAGGAGTCCAGTTCATCCCGCCATTGTTTTCTTGGTCTGCCTCGAAGAAGTCTGCCATTTATAGGAGTCCACCGAGTTGAAATTTTGGCCCCAAGTTCTTCTGACATACGGCAGACATGACCGGCTCAGTTTCATTTTAGTTTGGAGGATTTACGGGAGACCTCAGTGATTTGGGTTCTGGAGCGCAGAGTGGTATTTCTGATGCGGTCTGTTAGTCTGACTGCTAGCACGCTGCGGTACATTAATCGCTGGCACAATCCGAGATCGGACTTCTGCTGTTTGGTGAGAGACCAGGTTTGGGCACAATATGTCAAGACTTGAATTAAAGAAGGAAATGTTTGTGATTTCTGCCTGATCCCTGTCCAAAGAGTATAATAACTAGTCCCTATAGATGTTCCAACTTGGAAAAATTCACGCAACTCGAGTTTAAGCTCGAGTTGGCAATATAAAACAGAGTAAAGGATTTGTTACCAATTAATTTTTTATAAATTTGTTTTTCTATATAGCTCTTTGGTGGGTTGGGATAACCATAATTACCAAACTTATTATGTCGGATTGAAATAAAAAGGTATATTTTAGTATGTACTTATATATTTTTGGTTTTAATATTAGTTAAAGTAAGTACCTGTATTTAACAACAAAACTAGCTATCAGTCTTCAGGAAATAATATTAGTCTAGCTTTAAGATATAGGAGGCTGCTGATTGGGACAGGATACGGTCTTTTTTTGCATCCGGTGGGTTTGCTTCTCGCCGGAAGATCCCAGCGTTGTTGCTGATTCTGTTGCTGATGTGGTACTTCAGGGTATGGAACTTTTTATTCCATCCTCTGTGATGCCCATCGGAGGCAGATCCCAGCCATGGCTTGGTCGCTCCTGAAAAATAGCATCACGCTATAAGCAGGAGTGCTACCGGGCCTGGGCTGACACATCAACGTCTCGGGCTGTAAACACCAGCACTCTTAAAAATTACCTCCAGATTCTTCAAAAGAGTCATTGCCCAGGCAAGGTCTGAGCACATCGGCAGAATTGGCGAGACGCTAGTTCACCTTCCGTCGGGAACCCGTGCATTCTGGTCTCTCGCCTAAGCTGTCCAAGGGTACTTCTTTCAGCCATCTTTTCCATCTCTGCACATAGTAGACGGCTCACTTGCCCATGCCGCAAAGGAAAAAGCCGATCTGTTAGGCACTCTCTTTGCGTTCAACTCGATTCTCGATAACGGGGGAACACACCGCCGACCATCCCACGGTGTGAGTGCTCTATTCCGGATGTGCGGTTTACACAGCGCTCGGTTCGCAAAGCACTCCTCTCCCTGGACGTCATCAAGTCGAGTGGGCCTGATGGAGTCCCTCTTATTGTGCTGAAGACCTGTGCTCCAGAGTTGGCATCGTTTTTAACGCGTCTTTTCCGGTGCTTCCACTCCCAAGGCGTATTCATGGAAGACAGCTTTGGCCACCCGATGCCTAAAAACAGGTGACCACTCAGACATATCCAACTACATCCCTATCGCCATCATCTCCTTGTTCTCCAAAATAATGGAGTCCATTATAAACTCCCAGCTCATGAGGTACCTTGAGGATCATCATCATCATTTCATCGGGGTCGATCAGCTGGTAGTCTACCTGACTCATAAATGGGCGGAGGCAGTAGAGTCCAAGGAGGAAGCCGTTAGTTTGGACATAGCGAAGGCCTTCGATCGGGTGTGGCACAAAGCGATTCTTTCGAAGCTCCCTTGCTATGGCCTTCCCGAAAAATTGTGCAATTGGATCACCAGAATCCTTGCTGATTGGAGCATCAAGATCGTAGACGGTGCATGCTCTGATTACAAGCCTACTAACGCTGGTGTTACACAAGGCTGCGTGCTATCACCAACGCTGTTTCTTTTGCATATCAATGATATGTTGCAAAGTGGAGACATTCATTTCTATGCAGACGACAGCACTAGTGATGCCTTATACACCGGCCGTGCCTTTTTTGTTTCGATTCAAAACGTCATCGAGTACTGAAACTTGTACTACAAACTTGTGTCTGAAGTCGAGTCTTTGCTGAACAAAGTCTCGAATTGGGAGCGACTAAATCTAGTCCAGTTCGATCCTCAGAAGAAACAAATTTTGCGTGTTTACCGCTAAAAAGAACCCCTTTGCCGTATCTCCTCAGTTTCAAAGCACTTCCCTTGCTGCCTCAGATAACATCGGATTCCTCGGCGTCGACATATTGAATAATGTGCAGTTTCGTGGTCACTTGGTAGGGAAGGCCAAATTGGCCTCTAAAAAGCTTGGCGTGCTCAGCAGAGCGAGACAGTATTTCATGCCTGCCGCTTGATACTTTGCAAAGCGCATGTTCGGCCTCACATGGAATACTGTTTTCATCTCTGGGCCGGGTCTCCTTCCACTTGATCGCAACCAGAATAGAGCGGTTTGAATCGTTGACGACCGAGTTCTTTCTGATCGGTCCGTTTCACTAGCGCTGCGTAGGGATATTGCATCCCTTTGCATTTTCTATCGAATCTACCACGGGGAGTGCTATGAGGAAAAATATAGGTATATAAGCTATTAATAGTTTAATTATCACAATCAAAAATATTATTAAATAATTTCAAGTTTTATCATTAAATTAAAAAAAATTATATTTATTGTAAGTTAAGTGTTACAATTGGCATTAGTTTAAAACATGATGTATCTTATAACTTAACCACCCTTTTCAGGTATTACAATAATAGGTGTGTGGTTTATGATCATAATTAATCAAAATTATAAAAGAAATTATAATTATATTATTATAAATATAATTATGCATAACTTAACTATTATACAATAAATAACAAATTGTTTTGGTTATAGCTAAATACTCTTTGAAACACAAAGCGCGCACACAAGGAACAAATCGCGGTTTTACTCTTCCTAGTTCACTTGATCCGTTCATGTACAGCAGCCCAAACTCGAGTTAGGGAGATCTAACTCGAGTGAACTGGAGTTACTAACTCGAGTTGACCCATCACTACTATCTGATCTGATTCTGATTCTGATCTGACATTTGTAAATTTTTAATTGAAATTAGCAATAGCCATTAGCAAGGAATTAGGTTCTGTGGTTCTGTCTCTGTTCTGTTACTTGTCTGTTACCGAAAGTAATTTTGTGAGACAGTCAATAATTTTCTTTAACAATATGTTTTGTTTCATTACATCTTTGAAATAAATTGGATAGTAGCATTTAAGAAACAGTTATCAAAACGAGAACAGAAATCGCCGCCATCTCTGTTTGTGTTTATATTATTCGCTTTTTAAAATGTCGGGCGATCACAAAACGTTTTTGAAGGGTAGTCCCTCTCATTATGTGAAATTAAATGTCGGCGGAACATTGTTTTATACAACCATAGGGACACTTACGAAAAGTGACAATATGTTGCGAACCATGTTTAGTGGCAGGATGGAAGTACTCACTGATTCTGATGGTATATACTAATATATAAGTCAATGATATACTAATACTTTTTTAGTGTATTATACTGTCATATCTCATACCTATTTATATGAAATATTTTTCTTAAGGTTGGATATTGATTGATCGCTGTGGCAAACATTTTGGCACAATATTAAATTATCTACGTGATGGATCAGTGGCTTTGCCCGAGAGTATCCGAGAGACCATGGAGCTTCTAGCAGAGGCAAAGTACTTCCTTATTGAAGAACTTACCGAAGCATGTCATCAGGCCTTGAATAAAAAGGAAAGAGATGCTGAACCTATTTGTAGAGTTCCTTTGATTACCTCACAACGGGAGGAGCAATTGCTGATTATGTCAACATCTAAGGTATAAAATCCTACTACAATTATATTACTTACTAATTACTTAACTTGGCTAAATTATCTCTACTTGTCCATAACTATTATCCTACAATGAAAAGAGAGAAATATTACTTAAATTGACATCTTTTTATGTGTTAGGCTTATAATTTTTTGTATTTATATATACAGTAGAACCTTGATGACTTTGTTAATTGATAATCCTCACTAAGGTGACAAAAATTGCAATTCCCTCTGTTGAACCCCTAAATATGCGGTATCTCAAATAATTTAAACTGCTACTCGAAAGAAATGTTATTTCCCTGCAAAGTTCCTTGCAATGCAAATTTCAAAAAGTCAAAATTAGTAAAATATAATAATGATGTCTTACATGTAATTCCACAAACTCATAGCAATAAAATCCAAAAAGAATGTTTGTTGTTTTTCTGCTATTGTATGTACTTTGTACATGTGCAATAAATGAATACAATACATATAGTCTTTTAAATTTTCTAAGTATCTAACAAAACTGTAATTGTACCTTGTTTGTGTACATTTGTGTACTTTTGTTTGGGAAAAAGAATTCAAAATTCTTGTAAATTTTAAAACTCATTAACTCAAAATTTTTAGCATTTCCCTTGAAATTTGAATTATTGAGATTCCACATATAATGTTTATCTAGCAAACCTCTAAAAGTTGTTATTATTCAGTAATGATATGATATTTTTGATGCTCAGTTTTTTGTAGTTTTAAATACAAAATGCTTATATAATTGTCACTGATTATTTTTAAATGTGATTTCCTTTCAGCCTGTGGTAAAACTTCTAATTAATCGCCACAACAACAAATATTCATATACAAGCACCTCAGATGACAATTTATTAAAAAATATTGAATTGTTTGATAAGCTTTCTCTGCGATTTAGTGAGCGAGTTCTCTTTATCAAAGATGTGATTGGATCAAATGAAATTTGTTGCTGGTCTTTCTTTGGTCATGGAAAGAAATGTGCTGAAGTGTGTTGCACATCGATAGTGTATGCTACTGATAAAAAGCACACCAAAGTTGAATTCCCAGAAGCCAGGATTTTTGAAGAAACTCTGGGTATTTTGCTGTATGAGAGTAGAAATGGACCTGATCAAGATTTAATTCAAGCTACTTCATCTCGTGGGGCTGTAGGTGGTCTTTCTTGCACAAGTGATGAGGAAGAAGAACGCTCAGGCTTAGCACGATTGAGGTCAAACAAGCAAAATAATCAATCTTAGCGTTTACAGTCAGGCCTGGCCCGCCTTCGCAATTCTAAAAGGACAAATGTCTAATATCAAGCTGGCAATAATATAACATTGTAATATAATCTGTAATCCTGTACAATGTCAATAGCACTGTAAAGGATTCTAAAATATGAATGTTTCAAGTATAGGAGAGGCATTTATAACTGATAATCTATTACCTTAACAGTCTATATATCTATATGGTATTTAGTAAGTATCAATATATCCCAAGTAGTATCAATATATCCCAAGTAGTATGTAGAATTAGCATCTCTGAAGATTGCTAACAAATATATTTTTCATGATTAGACATTATATTATGACAAATAAAGTTATTCAATTTTGAAATTTATGCACATATTCAGAAATTTATGACCAGTATATATTTCTATAAATTTCCATTGCTGTTATTTTCTGTATGTAGGATAGGTTTTACATATGTGAGCAAAAATTGTAAAAAGTATGGTAAAAAATATATGACTTTCAATTTTTGTCCAAATCTTGAACAAAATGGTAAAGTATAAATAAATACGTAATTACATAAAAATCTGACAATCCAACTTGATGATGATGAGAATAGGAATGTAATAGATACTTAATTGATATGAACTTATTTATAGTATATGAGCCTATTTAGAGAAAAAAAAATTAAAAATGTTCAACGGTGCTGGCCAAGTTCCCATTCTAAAATTTAGTGCTAATAGAAAAGTATAAAAATGAATGAAATAAACAATAAGTCATGTGAATGTTACCTGACTTAAAATTGAGATATACTATCATTCCCATTTATTTTTACAGTTTTCTATTTGTGTTAATAATTGTAGAAAGTAATTGTGGCCAACGCTGCTGATATGATAAACATAGGCCATATGTTTATCTGTATATATAAAATCAATTGCTGTCTAAAATTAATCTCGCTAAAACTAGAAACTGGCTCAACCCATTCTGACGAAACTTTTTGTGTGGGTTTGGGTGGGTCCCTAAATGGTTTAGATTCACAAATGGATGTGGGAGGAGGCACTGTTGTAGAGATCCAGAAATAACCCGTGCGAAGTGGGCGGATCACTAGTATGTAATAAATATGCAGGACAAGTTTTATGTTCCTAACAAGAAAAAATATCCCTGTAACCTGTAAACGTATAAAATTAGAAATATTTAAATATGAATATCCAAGCATAACCAAGAAATAGAATTGAATGGATATGAATATTCAGACGTCTAATTAAATAATTTATTATATAATAATATAACATATGAATCATGTAGAGTATACCTTAAAGTATAATAAAATAATTGGATGTAATGAAATAATGAAATGTTTTAGCTCAAATTATTGGCCAAATTGATGTTGTAATGTGTAATTAATAATATCTTTGTCATTTTTACAATTGTAGTAAAGGAAAGTGACAATTAGCGATCTATTTAATTGATTTGGGTTGAATTAATAGTTTGCTGTGGTAACAACTTAACTAGGAACATATAATATTCTTGATATAACTTGAGTTGCTATTTGTTTGCGATTTGTTATAGAAGATAATAAAAAATAATGAGTATTTTACAAGTATTAGGTTTTGTAATGAAGTATGAAGAATGTGTTGTCTGAGGCTATTAAACTTAGTTTGTGAAAAAAGGTGTCTATATTAGATAATGATAAAAGGAAAAAAAGGAAGCAGTTAAAATTATATCATTTCGTTGTAATTACCAATTATACAAAATACACAGATTGAATGTTTTAAATGACATAAGTTCTACTTTCCCTACTTTTAAACTTCCCATTCCATGCATGTTGATTTAATAAAAATGAACACAAAATAGTTATCTGTTTCATAATTAAAGTGATTTATGTTACATATGTGGTATTTTCGTTTCTCCTTGTTATACATATATCTTTTCTTTATAATTTTATTCTATGTCTCAGACCAACAAAGAAAAAAGACTGAGCGCTGCGTACCTACATTTCAAGTGACGCAAAAACTGTACATCTCATACAAACGCATCTAAAATAATTTTCAGCGAAAAACATAGTTTAAGGTACATGTGTGCATTCAACAGTGAAGTTTTATGGGCTGATAAAGAAGAAAGATGTGTGAGCAGGTCAAGAAGTTGAGCATGGTGTCAGCATGACTTGAAATGTAAGCAGCAATCTTTTCAATCTTTCTGTGTTGATCCGAGTTCTACCTGTAAAAATGTTGAAAAATCTTTTACAAAATTACTCTTTGTTACACACTAGTGTATTTAATTATGAATGCTTGTCTAAAATCAACATTATCTTAAAGTAGGTTCAGAATTATACTTGGGTGTTTAATCTTAACTATTGGTTTTATTTTATAACTAGCTGTTCCTGCAGCGTTCTATGAATTAATTTTAGGTGTTCCATTTCCTGAATTTCGAGGTGGTAGGATTCTTTTACTGGCTAGGAGTCTGTCTTAATAGGTGTCACCCTCTTAACTATTTCTGCCATCAAACAGCCCATAGATACGTGCACTGCAGTAGCAACTTAATAAGTTTGTTACTTCTATTGTACATAAAAACATTCACAGGCCATTTATGAATATAAATAGTTATTTTTATTTAACATATTTAATGTGTATTAAATTCACTTTAAAAAACTAAAAAGAATCAAAATAACTTACACATAGCTTCTTAAGTGGTGCGATGGCTCCGTGGCGCAGTGGCGTAGCGACGAGTTGCGGCGCTGAGGGCCGCTGGTTGAGTTCCGCAACAAGTTTTTGTATGGCCTACAAATAATTGTTTCGGGTCTGGATGTTCGTCCTTGTGTAATTAATGTATGTAAACTGCGTCCTCGATACAGGAGAAAATATTAGCGTGGGCGTACATTTTCTAACAATAAATAATAAGTGGTTAAATTAAAAAAAAACTGTACAACCGACTTCAATATAAATAAAATGAGAGCATCATCAATGTAGTCGAGGTCAATTAAATATGTATTATTAAGGATAACTAAAAAACTACTGGTCAGATCTTGATCATATTTATATGGGACCACATGAGAAGTACTAGATTTCGAATAAAAAAAATAATCAAAATCGATTTACCTAGAAAAAATTTCTGAGGTAACACAAAAAAATTCAGTCGAATTGTGGACCTTCTCCTTTTGTTAAAGTCTGTTGAAAAAAAGGCCGGTGCTAAGGCATAGTGTATTGAAGAAAAATATACACACTTCTAAGTCGTGTCACGCAGAGAAACTCCGAGCATAGCTTTCTCCATAGCTCGCTGAAGTGGCCTTCAGCTTCCTCATACGGCCAACAGTGAAGACCACGTCTCAGATTTATATGTCATCAGTGGCAACAAGCACTGGTTGTACTTGTCTATCTTGTTTTTAAGTTCGTTTTCAAGTCGATTTAGAAGAAGTTTTCTTTCTCGCACAACTTCCTTGTGGAATCGACTACCACCAGCGATTTTTTCGGACCGATACGACTTAGGGACCTTCAAGAATAGAGCCTTTCTTTCTTTTTAATAGCTCCTTTTTAAAAGGTCGGCAACGCATCTGCAATTCCCTTGGTGTTGCAGTTGTTCATGTGCGGCAGTAGTCACCATAAGGTGAGCCGCATGCTCGTTTTCCATCCTATAAAAAATAAATAAAACGTGCACGTCAGCGAAGGAAAACAGCGTCCGGAAACATGTGTCAGGAATAACATATTACGAACATTAGTAAAGTGCGCCTCCACACATAATGTGCGTCGTACTAATTTTGCTCCATAACATTCTTAGAAATAAGAGGAGGCAATTGTAACTCTTCGCAAGCCGTGTAGTGGCGGTTAAGGATATTCACTATTTATTATTAGTGTTGTAAGAGGTGACAGAGGGTAACAGGCAGGAGATGTCAGCAGCATCTTTCTGATAACAGCAATAGTACCATAAAAAACTGCGATTAGCGGGGCTCCCAGTCTTATCGGATCGACACACTCCCAAAGATTGGGAGTGTGTCGCCGAGGGTTGGGTATCTTATACTCAGAATCACCAAACGGTATTCGTTGAATGTCATACAGGTTTAGCACCAACCTCGACACATCTCGATGAGGAGATGTAGGAAATGTATGAGGATATCTCTAAAGCCATGTATTCCTCCAAAACCCTCTACGGTATTAATGGGAGACTTCAACGTAAAACTAGGCACAAGAGAAAACGGTGAGGTGAAGGCAGGGAAATTTGGAATAGAGCAACGAAACCCAAGGGGGCAGCACCTGGCCGACTTCAAAGAGAAAGAGGGATTCTTTATGATGAACTCTTTCTTGCAGAAGCGGCCCCACAGGAAGTGGACATGGTCGAGTCCCGACGGTTCGACAAAAAATGAGATTGACTTCATTATGACGACTAGGCGGCAACTGTTCAGTGATGTCTCGGTGATCGTGAGGGTGAAAACTGGCAGCGAGCACAGAATGGTTAGAGGCACACTGAACCTAAACGTTAAGTTGGAGAGGTCTCTTCTTCAGTGCCTAGAAGACTGCAATACAGTGGACGATATGAATGACAAGCTCGTGGAAACTGCCCATGCGGTCGCAACTAAGTTCTGTAAGACCCGTCGTAGAAGAACACAAAAACTCTCCGATCACACTCTTAATCTCATGGCTGTTAGACGGGAAATGAATTTGTAGTGTTCAGCAGCTTTGGCGGCATACAGGTAACTGAACAGACAGATATCCAAATGCTTGCGGCGGGATTTATTTTACTTTAATACAGCTCATATTGAAAAAGTGATCGAGCGAAACTAGGACTCCAGTCTTTGCGAGAAAGAGCTAACTATCGAAGCTAAAGACCGAGGCTGAACACCTGAGATTTTGAGTGAGATTTAGAGGTTCTATGGGCTGTACACGTTAACGCTGGGGCCACTATTTCGATGATATCCCGGACTTCAGTTTGGGCGAGATTTGAATGGCTCTCCAGCACTTTAAGAACGGCAAGGCCCCAGGCGAGGATGGAATTAAGCTTTCTTGAAGAACTACAGACCAATTTCCCTTCTGAGCCGCGTCTACGTGCTGTTTTCTGCCGACTTCCAAAAAGGAGACGGTACTCAATTCGACTGTATGTTTTTTATGTGTTAAAAAAAGAGAATAACTTTTTACTGGGTGAACCGATTTTGATGATTCTTTTTTATTTGAAAGCTGATACTTCTCGTGTGGTCCAGGTCAGACCAATAGTTATTGAGTTATTCTTAATAAATTATATTGAAGTCTGCTGTACAAAATTTTAAATTATATTTCCGAATAAATATATCATTCAATGTAAATATTTCATTCATTTTATTTTTTGGATCCGAATAAATATATAATATGGATTGTATTAATACAATCCATTTTTTAACCTATTTCTTATTGAGAGTCATTACGAATCTTCTCGCACGCAGACAAAACTACTTCCAGCCTCCCAAAGAAGCCGGTTTCCCAAAAGGCTTTAGTACCATAGACCACATACATACCCTTCGGCAAATTCTATAAAAGATTGAAGAGTATAATCTGCCACTTTGCCTTGCGTATGTGGACTATGAAAAAGCCTTTGATTCCGTCAAAATTTGGGCGGTGCTAGTCCCTTCAACGGTGTCAAGTTGACTGTCGGTATATCGAAGTGCTGAATTATATGTACAGTAGGGCTACGATGGCAATCCGAGTACGGAACCAGAGTACGAATCCTATCCAACCTATTCAGCAGAGAGGTGACAAGGTAAGACAGGGTGACGTTATTTCTCCGAAACTTCACCGCTGCATTGGAAGACGTTTTCAAGCTACTGGACTGGAAAGAATACGGTATTAACATCAATGGCGAGTACATCACTCACCTTCGATTTGCTGACTATATAATCCTTATAGCAGAATAGCTAGAGCCTAAGTACTATGCTCAATAGTGCCTCCCAGCGGATAGGTCTTAACATGAACATGGACAAAACAAAGATCATGTGTAACATCTATGTCACATTTATGCCGGTAGTTTTTGGGAGCACTAAGCTCGAAGTTGTTGATGATCCAACTTCGACCGAGAGGTCAATCGACGGATTAATCTTGGCTGGGCAGCATTCGGTTAGTTGCGACATATCTTCTCGTCAGGTATACCTCAAAACTTGAAAACGAGATTGTAGGTACAAGCAGAGCATGTTGCCAGTTATGACCTATGAATCTGAGACATGGTCCTTCACAGCTTACCGTATGAAGATGCTCAAGGTCACTCAGCGAGCTATGGAGAGGGCTATGCTCGGGGTTTCTCTGCGTGATACGTGCGTCCACAGTAGAACCAGAGTGACCGACATAGCCCAACGGATTAGTAAGTTGAAGTGGTAATGGGCCGGCCATATAGCTCAAAGAACAGACAACCGATGAGGAAAAATTTTCTCGAATGGCAGCCTCGTACAGGTAGGCGAAGTGTAGAGCGACACCCCACTAGATGGAGTGAGGACCTGGTAAGACATGCAGGAAGTCGATAAATGCAGGTAGATCAGGACGGTGCTTTGTGGCATTCCTCAGAGGACGCCTATGTTCGGCAGTGGACTTGTGAAGGACTGTAATGATGATGAATTGTAGCTCGACTTTTTTTACTTTTATACAATTCTTCCGTGCCGTGTTGGAATCGAACATTCAATTCATAGTGTCTTAATCAACCATTTATTTGATGCCCTAACATCAGAAATAAACCATTTGGCATAGTCTATGGTAAAACCTACTATGTTATTCAGCAGTGAATTTTATGCTTAAGAAAGCAGTAATAGAAATCTTACTTTGTCATTATGTTTAGCAACATTATATGGAATGTTTTATGTAGGTATATCAGATTTTGAGATGGTCTTAGTCCACATCAGTAACAATAGGCAGAAAGTTACAAGCTACAAGTGAGTTGTCACTTTTACTTGGTTTGAATTTGTTTGGGGTTGTCATGGGCTGCAGTCATGACCTTCTACACTAACATATAAGTTAAAAAAAGATGAATCAAGAAAGGAATTAATTTTTTCCACCAATAAATTCTTACTGTTGAAGTTTTCTTTATATGGGGCAAAGCCATGTTGCAGCTATATTATGCTCAATTCATCTTTTTTATTACATTAATGACCAATGAGTCTTTCAGCCAACATCAAACAAAGTAAACTGTTACTGGTATGGCTTAAGACTATTTTAATAACAGGTATAACTTAAAAAAATCTAATAATTTTTGGAAAAAGTTTGTAGGTTTCTTTAAATTTCAGATTTGTATCTCATATGAATTTTAAAATAAATTTTAACTATTATGACATAACTAGTATTTTATTACAGTTTAGGTTTAATAACTTTCATGAAACTTGTAGTAATAATAAATTCTTCTTATAGCATTCTAAGCTACATAATGGAATCCCAGTTTTTGAGCACTGATATTTTTTGATATTTTTACAATTATCTAAGCCGCACTTAACAGGTTTTGGTGTTTCAATTGGGAGTTTACGTTCTAGTGGGTAGGGAACATCGGGAGGCATTGATAATGTTATTTCATTATTATTGTTTTTGTATACTATCATAGGCTCTTGTTTTCTATTGGGTCTGCCCTTTTGAGCGTTTTTTAAATTTTTTGATTCCTGTTTCTTCAAAAGTCTGTCCATAGTTTTTTTCTTATCCTTTTCTCTTTTTTCATCTGCTAATTGTTTCCTTTTTTGGGACTTCAAAGCTGCTTTTTGTATAGCTTCTGCAGTCATTACTTTTTCTTTGTACCCTGAAGGCAATGCTAGCAAAATTTCTCCTCCAGGACTGGCATCTTTATCAGTTCCTCTTTCGTACATTGCTCTCTGTCTTGCTGTCATCATTTTGGGATCCTTTGGTTTAATTTTCTTCAGCTCTTCATCTACCTAAAATGAAAAAAAAAAACATTTTTAGAATCCAAAAACTAGTTTGTTTTTAAATCAATTTGCAAAAAATGTTTTGTAAAATATCAAACACTTTTTTAGTAAATAGAGAATTCAAGGATGAGAAATACAGTAATTTCATTTGAAATCATTTTTAAAAGTGATTTTAACTACCAGTCAAAACTACATTTAACTAATATTTTTTAATTAAAATCTCTAAACAAATATTTTTCTAGACTAAAACTACTTTTAGTCTAAACTGGACTGATAATGGGGATAGTTTTGACTGTATGAAATGCAATAAGTTATATTTTGTTTTAAGAGCAAAGTTGAAAATTAAGAATATATATTTTTTTTAACTCGACCTTCAATGTGTATGCTAGTTTAAATCAAGTAAGATTAATGAAACATACTTCTTCAAGTTTTCCAGATTTAATTGCATCAAGCCATCGTTCTTCTTCACTAGATGTGCCACTGTCTTTGCCTTTCTTCTTTTTCTTTGAACTTGCTTTTGGAGGAGTACTTGAAGATGATCCTGGTATAGATTTCCTTGAGTCTGAAGACGATTTCATAGTTTGAGCTTTTAAGAGATCTGCAGCAGAAGTACCGGGCACTTCCTTCTTCATTTTAATTTTATAAGGTTTATCCATAGCATCTTCATAAGAAACGTCTATGGATGTATCACTCTCATAGTCATTTTCAATTTTTCTTTTTCTATGCTTTTTGTGCTTGTGTCGTTTGTGTTTTTTCTGCGGTGAAGTATCTAAAATTGTTAGCATTACGAATTATATGTTTGAAAATTACATATTAGCATATTACTAATAATAAAATTGGGGATATTTGTACCAATGACAATTTCATCTTCGGTTGTACTTTGCTCGCGTAGACGGCGTACCATTTTCGTATCTAACCAAATTTAAGAACTTTGAATTATATTCACATTACACATTTGTATTTAATGTGAATTGTGAATTTTTTGTACTATATTTTATAAACATCAAAATCAAATGTCAATGTCCAATGTCAGTGTCAATCAATATGATTTTTCTGATAGTTTTCTTTAAAGGCAAAGAGATTGATGCCTATACAGCCTAGTCAAACGTATTTTGTTCAGAAAATTCTGTACAACCTGCTAATGCTGCTCAGGGTATAGTGCGCGCATGATAAATGATAACTTTGCGCTCGACTGATGGCGTACTTAATGTTACCAGCTTAACTAATATTTTTTCCTTCATTTAACCTTCTGGTTCCAAAACAGTGTTTGCTAGTAGGCAATTTAGCTCCCGTTCTGCATTCCTGTATAATTTAATAAATAGAGAATTAAACATATACGACAAAACGTACAAGGAGTGTAAAAACCTTATACTAAAATGGGTGCAGTCGAAAGCATATGACGTAACTGAATTTCTGATGGAACGCATTTCGAAATTCACTGTTCTTTACGATATACAACATAATACATAGGCTACACTAAAAGTATCGGGAATGGAATATTTCCACTGTTCCTGTCATATTAAAAGCTTTTTAATTGAAAACTCCTTGGTTTTAAAAATCGAATACCATTTATTTATTTAAAAAAAAGATTCGCGGTCTTGTCACAAGGTTTTGTCAAACTTGTTTAGTCGTTTAGAAAATGGAATTGACTCGAAAAAATTCAAGAGCGATGATTTATTATGACTTTCGAAGTGGCTTAAGACAGAAACAGTGTGTTGACCGGATGATTTCTGCATTTGGTGATGAAGCCCCATCCAAAACCACAATTTATCGCTGGTTTGCTGAATTTCAACGTAGACGTGTCAAGCTCAGTGATGATCCCCGTCAAGGTCGTCCAAAAACTGCAGTCACCCAAGAAAACGTTGATGCTGTGCGTACGCTGATTGAGGAAGATCGACATGTGACATACCGCGAAATTCAGGCAACTTTAGACATTGGCATGAGTCAAATACAAATAATCTTGCATGAACAATTAGGTGTAAAAAAGTTGTTTTCCCGATGGATACCGCATTCGCTCTGTGAAGAGCAAAAAGCGGCTCACGTTACTTAGTGCGTCAGAACTCTCGAAAGATTCTAAGCAGGATCCTCAAATGCTGTATACAACATCGTATCAGGTGACGAATCCAGGATATACGCGTACGAACCCGAAACAAAAAACCAGTTACGAGTTTGGGTGTTCGAAAATGAGTTAAAGCCAACAAAAATTGTTCGTTCACGGAGTGTTGAAAAAAAAAATGGTGGCCACGTTTGTCTCCAAAACCGGCCATGTTACGACTATTCCTCTTGAGGGACAAAGAACGGTAAATGCAGAATGGTATGCTAGCATTTGTTTGCCACAGGTCGTTTCTGAACTCCGTAAAGAGAACTGCAACCGCCGCATCATCCTCCATCACGACAATGCGAGTTCTCACATCGCACACAGAACAAAAGAGTTTTTCATCACCTGAAGAAGCTGTGGACGCCTACAAAACGGCCATTTTGGTGACCCCAACTTCCGAATGGAATGGTTGCTTCAATGGTTGGTTCCATGGTATGGAAAAATGGGTCAATTTCGCGGAGAATACTTCGAAAAGCAATAAATACATTTTTAAATAGTAATGTTGCGTCACTTCCTTGATTCCCGAAATTTCCCATTTCCCTTCCTGAAAATCAGTGCCACCCTCGTAATACTTTCTCCACATACACACACACACACGCACGCACGCACGCACGCTCGCACGCACGCACGCACGCACGAACGCACGCACGCACGCACGCACGCACGCACGCATGCACGCACGCGCGCGCGCACGCACTCACGCACGCACGCACGCACGCACGCACGCTCGCACGCACGCACGCACGCATGCGCACGCGCACGCGCACGCGCACACGCACACGCACACGCACACGCACACGCACACGCACGCACGCACACGCACACGCACACGCACACACACACACACACAAACAATATTGTAATATTTAAGTTGATATGAATTATTCCTTAATATAAAATTTGAAAACGTTTAATTTATGCGAGCGAGTTTGAGAAAAAAACTAAAAAACCCGCTTCACTTTTATTTTTGGTATTCTTCTCAGCAAACCCTTTTATTTGATACCCATATCATGGGAATGCACAAAAAATAACTAGTCCATCTTTAGGAGTCCGCCATATAGGATATAGAATGACGTCACTTATTTTCATCTAAACTTAACGTATATGCAAAATTTCCGCTCCATCGAAAACCTAAAAGTTGGTCAAATTTAACATTAAATTTTTTTTATTACATAATTGTAGATGAAGATATTATATGCGTGTTAGAAATGACTATTATTATGACTAATGAACACTGATATTTTGTTTATAATGAATTTTTCAAAAAAGTTATTTTAAAAATATTTATTATAAAGAACGAAATCTAAGGTCGATGGAAACCTTGTAAATCTTTTATTGAGTACCTAGATCTATTTGTAAATTTGGTGTAACAATGGTCCCGCTGTGGGTCAACGCCATCCATTCGCACATCTTCATCAGAATCTATGCTAGAGTCTTCATCGGAAGACTCGGATGTGTCGCCTGTGATATTAATTATAAATTTATCCATTTCCATATCCATCAGCTTATCGCGGTAGGTAAGGCGGCGAACGGAAAACCTCATGTCCATGTTCATTTAACATTTGTTATTTTTCATACTGTGGGTCTCCTTTGTTTTATGATTAATTCGTATATTTGCACTTTTGTCCAAGAATCATCCATTTCACGTAATCCACTCTTGGAACTCTGCTTTTGTATTGCCGATTGTAGGCACCTTGTTTATCTGTGTGGTATAACGCATTATCCATCACTATAATGAAATTTTTTGGTAGATTTGGCACAAATTCCTGACGATTCTTAGATAATACATATTAGATAATAGGCTAAAAAAATATATTCTTCTTAAAACATATTTTCCTCACCAAGTTGCAATATCACTGCGTTCTATCAATACTTTTCGTTTAAACTGGCACCTTTTGTATTTGTAGCCCATAGTCTTTAAGCTACTACTCAATGATGTTCTGCCATATTTAAAATCAATATCAGCTTTCAATTCAAACCAAAGTTTATTTATGGCAGGAATCTCTTTCTTCACGACGTCAAACGATTGATTTAAATGCCTTATAGCGCCACATATGAAAGTCGTCTAAACCATTTTTTCCTCCGGTTCCTAGTTTTCCCGGCATCACAATTTTAGAAAATGAAGCTGCTACTACACACTACTGTACACTCTTGAGTTATTTGGGTGACGGTGCGTTCAGAGACACCTAAAACATAATAAAAACAATGCATTATAAATACATGATATTAATGACACGAGGAAACTAAAACGAACAAGTCGAGAAAATTAGGGAGTTTTATTTGTCATGGCAGCCCTAAAGATTACCCGTGAAATATGAAACGTGGGCTCTAACTTTGGAAAACGGTACTGTAGGCCCGTTATTGTCTCGTTCTTCTTAACAAGCACGTTTGACTTTCAAGATAATATCCCTGCCAGCAACTTTAATCACATTCGGCATAATGATGACGATTATTTACTGCAAAAACGAATAAAAACACGACACCTAACACTATGTTTTGACACCTGCCATAAACAGCCAGATGGCGGCACACAATTAGTTCCAATTTTGGCCGCGCACAGAGTTATCTTGCGCGCACTATACAGGGTTATTTTTCAAAGAATAGCCAAAAGAGTTTTCAAAGACTAGTCAAGGGGTAAAAACATAATATGCAACAAATGTGATAAAGAAATATGTCAAGGAATTTCTTAAATATTATGATTGCAAATTCATTTATGAAATTGAATGCTTAAGTATTACATCCAAACGCTTCTATCTAATGACCAAAGAACACAAACTTAAATGCAAGTGCCAAACATGTTTGGGACAGAATACAGATGTTACAGAAGCTAAACCACACAAGGACTAAGGAATGTCATAAAATCATGTTGAATTAAAAAAACCGTGCGCACTGATGAAAACATAAAATAGAGAAAGCCAAGAGTGGGTAAACATATATCAATTGCAGATTTATCAAGTAATGAGAACATAGAAAAATTCCACTTTCTTAGATGATGGTTCACAAAGTTTACCTAATTTAACAACCACGGAAAGCTTACTGATTAATGATCTTAGGGATGAAATACATGCGCTTTCTATACAACTATCTAGTGCACAAAATGAAATAGATTTATTAAATTTGTAAATCACAAAACATCAAAAGAAAATTACTGAACAGCAAAAAAAAAAAGCTCGATATATACAAGAAACTTTTATCAAATGGAGAAGTATCACCACGAAGGTTAACACCGATGAAGTTAGATAAAATTTCACCCATGAAGTTAGATAAAAATGATATCCATCTTACAGGATACGAATAGTAAAACAAAAGTTGGGCAAAGTTTAAACATTCATTCGACCATAGAAAAGACCTTAAAACTGCAAGAAACTTGCATAGAAAAGAAGAAAGATGTAAACAATACACTCAGTAAAACATGTATGTCATCTTTAGCTTTAGCACCATATACAGAGGTACCTAAAATGAAAAAAAAATACGATCACAATTCTTGGGGATGAAAATACGTCGGGTATATCTTCAGCTTTATACAAACCAATAGAAGGAAAATGGAATAATAGGTATATGCCATTAGCTATAATAAAATCAAACGCTTCTTCAGGTGATATCTTAATGCATTGTAACCAAACTTGAAGAGACAGTAACATTAAGAAATCAAAAATCCGTATAATTGTACTCTAATCTTAGCGTTTCTTTGTATAAACTGCGCAAAACTAATTTTTATTTATCACCTGTACTAAGTAATTTGTTTTTAATTTTTTTTATAGGATAAGGGTAACAAATGAGCACACAGTCCACCTGATGGTAAGTAA